AGGATCCGTCCGAGCCATCCACCTGCGGCCTCCCCCGTCTCCGGTCTTCTTGACTCTGTCTCGACACCGGTCTCAGGCGGGGGAGGAGGAGAGAGTGTAGGTAGATGCAGCGCAAGTCTACTGGCACTATAAACCCCTGCGCTAGTCACCGTCCCTGCTCCCACAACGCAGTCTGTGGGGCACACGGTGGACATCGTCGAAATCGACGGTCGAACTGTCGGTATGAGTTTTGGTCCTTTGAGGAGGACCGAGATATCCGGCCACTTAGCTGACGTGATTTTTTAGAGCACTGCGGATATTTCAAAGTTCCCCGATTGCTTAAAATAAGGAATATGAGCTGAGTACCGTGGGGGCGCAGTCTCCAGAGTCGACATCTCTCTCTTTCGTCTTCCGAGCATCGTCCAACTGTCCAACTCGTTCAACTAACTGACTCTGAGACTGGTCGCTCTGACCGACACAGTTAGAAAATACCCGTCTGGGTGTGCAACACCAATATGACCCCCATACAACAAGATTTTTGCAATGGGGCTGGCTGTTTGGATCGCGCGTGTGTTATAATGTCGTAGAGGCAACACGGAGAAGAAGTCAGGAAGGCACTTCCCACTTACGCGATAGGATTTAATCTGTGATTGTGGTGGATGATTGGGGGCGCGCTCGTGCAGTGCACGTTTGTGGACGATGTGTATCAGTGGGGTTCGAATTTCAGTTTCTTACAGCTGGCTATAATAAAAACTTATGTGGTCGAGTAGGTCAGTGCGGTGTCTGAATGACCATGATCAGCGTAAGTAGTGAATGCGTACGTGTGATGACAATATGGACAGGATAGGTTTGTAGCTCCTGATTTATTTGCGACGGTAATGCGCAAGTGGCGGCGACGTTGTTGGAGGGAGAGATGACAAAATTAGGAGTGGGATAATTATCGGATGTGCAAGGTGGGTTAGAAATGTGGGCATCGCGATGACTTCCGCTGTCGTTGGTACTTATGTGACCAAGTAGGTCCACGGGACGAATGAATTCCCGTGAACGGTGCAGAAAGTTGAGGCGTGTGAGGCGCGTTTGTGTCGGGGCTCTGGAAACTGCTTCGCCAGTCTCGGTGAGATAGATTTACAAGTAATAGACCGAGCCTGTGTAAAATGGCTGTACTGCGTATTTAAAATCCTCGGAGACTTGTCCTTGCCGTCATGTCTCCTAGAAAAGAGAATTGAAATTTTCCACAAGTCAATGTCAAGTATCCTCGTAGATTTCGACTGGGGTTTCGACAAGTCCCGTTGCCTTTCGCTGTAGAACTAGTGCAGGGTTATGATGGTTTTAGGGGGTAAGGTGAACGGTACAGGTCGTCAGTGGTTTCCACTTTGGGAGGCCAGTCGGTAGTGGCGTCGGAGATTGTCGATGAGCGGTTGAGGACTGTTCTGAAGGGCTCGTCACAACGCCGTGATAACTGCGCAAGGAGCGTTGTTTTGTCGAAAATAAGCGATGTCGGGGTTCTTCTTGTGCGGTGCTATAGTCTTACTCAGAGTTGAAGAGATTATTCCTTTCTATGCCGTTCTTGCATTCTTTTAAACCCTTGGCTTTGCGATCACTCCAGACTCTCGGCGTCTCCCACAGTTTCTGTGACACTACACGATGACATCTGAAGTAGGTCGCTTAATTTGCTTTGGTTCCACGGCTGGCATAGGCTTCGAACAGCCCATTCCTCTCAGCAAGAAGATCCGTGATTTCTGTGTCGTTATCCTCAAATTAATTCCAGTGTGAGCTACGTGCATGGGACAGAAAATTGGTGATGGTGGGGGCGGTGTTGGTGGTGGTGGTGGTGGTGGTGGTGGTGGTGGTGGTGGTGGTGGTGGTGGTGGTGGTGGTGGTGGTGGTGGTGGTGGTGGTGGTGGTGGTGGTGGTGGTGGTGGTGGTGGTGGTGGGAATTGCGTTATCGATGACCGTTGGTCGACAAATTGAAGGTTTCCAGATCAGAAGGCAGAAGAGACAGCTGGGCAAGGGTGACGTAGGCGACGCATTAGACGCAAAATAAGCAGATAATGGCAGTCAGCGTTTTCACCTGGCATATGCCAGCCGAAATTCATGAATCCTAACTTCGTCCACCTCCGATAAATCAAGGAAGACAAGACTATCGATCTGCGTCACAAGCCGGAGGTTGGGGGAGGCGTTTTATTCCAACCAAAGGTTATATGGGTGAGCTGCGGTGCCGACGACCGTGAGAACGGGCAGCTGTGGTGTTCCGCAGTTAGTACAACTGTGTCTTCAGTGTAGTGTGGTCGTCTGGATCGTGCACCTCTACAAGATGCTGAATAGCTCTTTTGTTTAATTCGGAGCAACGAACAGACAAATTTAGCCAAACAATATCCTTCTTTTCTTTGGTCACTTTCCTTGTGGTTATCACTGGGATTGGGTTTGCAGCCTCATCGTGGAGATGGCAAGGCGGTGGTCTACCCAACAGCTCATCTCCGTCCAAAGCACGTCGTATCGACTTCGCCTCCGGACAACGACACCTTCGTTGTTATTAAAATAACTGGCATTGTGCACCTTGAAGAACTCCTGAAGTCGGTTGACTCGAATATTCAATTCACGATGAAAGATGGAACAAACAACCAACTTCCCCTCCTCGGCGTGCTTGCGCGCCGCTGTTCAATTGGATAACAGCAAGCTCCAGCATTTAGAAAAGTCGCCGACACGAGGTAACTACTACATTTCAACAGCGATCATTTCCTATCTGACAAATGCAGCTGTGTCCATACTATTTCAAAAGGCTGAAATACACTGTAATACGACAGCAGACAAAATGGCCGAATGACTATACTTCAGAACCTCTTCAGAGCTGGTACTAATCCCAGCCATTTTATCGAGAAAAGGGGCCACGGAGCGCTCAGACGACGGACAAAGGAGCAGCAATATGACGTCTGGAGAAGTCGCCGAGACGCTCTCTCGACTGTTATAACCCGCCAGAGTAAACATAGCCCATCGATTCCAAGCAACAATGTGACGCCGTTTGGCGCAACCTAAAGACATGCTGCCACCCGCGGAAACCTTAGCAATTGTCTGGAAAATAAGCTGCAATGATGTGGACTGCAATTATGTTGGGGAAATCGTGACAGACATTGCAGACCGGCTCTCAAGAACACAGATCGACAATTCGGAGACTATACTCAAACTCTCAGCCTGATACGCACGTTGGAAAACTGGCCCTGATTCTCATCTTCAGGGAGCTATCGCCTTGGGCCGGGACGTCTCAAAGGCAGAAAGGCCAACACTCGAGGCTTGACACCCAGATGCCAACTCCATCAACAGGCATCAAAACCTTCCTACAGCTTACAAAGCCTCGCTCAACTATATTTAAGAAGGCCATGCAGATACATCTCGAAGACAAACCCACTCTACGAGAAGGTAAAGGGTGGCCAGACCGACCAATCCAGATAGAGGCTCAATCGCCTCCCCCCTCCAGATAGTGACTCACAAAGCACACAGTTAAAAGTCAATTGAACATCCCCGAAAGGCCGAGGCAGAGAGAAAGGAAAAAATCGATCAGCATGAGGCCAACTAGCTCGACACGCTACTTCCATTTCTGTTCGATTACGAGCTTTTACACTTTAACAATGGTCAGCCAACTTATCTACCGGAGGTGTCACCATGCCAATAAACCTATTTCAGCGCACTGTTCTTATTTCTCAAATTATCAGCCTGGGTATCTCAAGTTTGCCAATCGAAGCTAATAGTTCCGAATGAGTGAGCGGATGCAGTGACATGATCGGTCTTTAAATGAGGTATGTGGCTTCAATGGATGATGTCTACCACAGTGTTGGGCATTGGAAATCCTTTTAGAGGCCTGTGGACTTCACACTACGTTGATTTTAACGTTATCCAAGGACGTTATCCAGGACCACAACTTGCGGCTGATGCGAAGGAAGGTAAGCAGATTAATTTCAATGGTGTCGGTGTTTTGCGGTGTGGGGTGGTTTCGTTGAGGTAACTGTGGACGAATAGTCCACCAATGGATACTCCTGTCTCAAATTAGAAATGACATTGGGCAGAGGTTGCGAAAGGTTGGAATTTCGTGATGTAAGTCACTTGTAAACCAGCCTGTGGGATTTCCGCTTCTTTTTATTCTTTTGTATCCGGTTCGTTTTGATGATGGTTGCCCCCTTCTTTTGGAAAAACTGCAATGTGGACAATGCCACTGCTATTGGATCGAACGCCTTGATATGCAGTAGATAACGCAACCCATGAAATGCGATAAAATTACTCTGAATGATCATTTCGGGGCTCGTTTAACATTGTGCGCATGACTCATTTATCAAAAGTGTTCTGTAGAAGTATTCTTCTCATGCATAATATACCCCTAAGTTGGTTTTTCAATGAAAATATCTACAAATTTAGTTTTTGCAGTTGATCAAGAATATATTTGTCGTGGACCTTCGGTTTGGACGTCCATTGTTTCGGTGCCGAGGTTTGGTGTATCATTGAGTCAGTAAATACGATCACTACCAGCATAAAAGAGAGCGCCAGATAATGCCCTATTTACGTGAATTTTTATGAAATATTTTAGTTTGAAGGCTATGCTAGATCCCAACTGCAGAATCTGTCACTTTGGTAGTTGATCGTTTATACTGAAAACCACATAATATTCACTAATATATGAGGGACGCCCTGATTCCCAACGGACTTCACGATCACCAAACAGTCATTTTATAGAAGAAATGTTCTCTCGTTTCACGAAAGCTTGCAAACTTACGATTTCATCTCGAAACTCTGTTTTAGCTTCTTAGTCACGGGCCTGCCTCTAAGCATGGTATCTAGCTAATTGATAACCAGTCTGGAGTCTTACGGAATTAATCTTTTGTCCTTAACACGCCGTCTTGAAGTTGCCTAACTAATTTTGCGAGCCTTTTTGAACATCGTCATTTCATGATCACTACCCAAAATTGGTTTCGGTTCACAATGCCGAAGGCACTTGTGAGATTGGTGTAGATCATAGAGACTTCTCCTCATTTGTTGACATTGTTCCCGAAATGGCCGAGCGTTCTGCGGTACTTTTGGGATCTTTACCACACCACCGGGCGTAATGCCCTGACTGGGAGCTTGGGCAGGAAGTAAGCAAGGGTTCTTCTAAACTACTAGGAACGATCAAACCGTGTCGAGAATCTAGCGTTTTCCTTTTCGTCCGACAAGACGTCCACAGTACCGTCCATGAGATTTTATGGGTATATGTTAACGTATGTATTGTAGAGTTTACAGCCAGAGTCTTCAATGATTCTGTTAATTTATAGTTGCGTCATTTCCCACATACAACCACATGGTGGAGTATTACGATCCGCCTATCTAATGTCCAGTGACTCAAAATCTGTAGCATTCTGCGGAGATTTAGGCACTGTGCGGAGTTGTTGTGCTAAACATTTTTTATCCTGCCCAGGCTCCCTTTCACAGAGACAGTGAACGATAGCTGTCAGCACCTGATGCTGCTTGGAGCATTTTGTTTACGACCGCATAGTAGTTTACATATTAGAATTCTGATATGCTCAGCCCAGCGGCTCAGGTCCTGTGCTTTCCCCAGTAACGAGGTATTATCACCTATGACCGGCGAAAGTAAACGTTCATTTTACCGAATCCAGTCAGTCTATCAATTGGTTTGCATCCCCAGAGTCTCTGTTTCACTTCGCTTTCTTTTAGAAAGAATGAGATTTTGTGTCCGACTGTGTTCAAGCAAAATTAGTCTCGCAATCGGAGGAGAGTTTGCATTCCCTCAAAGCTATCGCTGCGTCCGTTTTGTTGACCTCGGTCTGCAAGCTCAAGGCCATGCGTGACGACGGTGCAAATAAAATCAACTTTTTTTCTCCCCAACATCTGTGGACTCTAAGGCCTGCACATTCTTCAGCTCGTTCTGAATCTGTTAGTAGGACCCAATCTGCTTTCCACCGTGCCAGGTATAGGCGTCCCTAATTCGGTTTGTGCTTTCTTCGCCGCAGACTGATCCAGCGGTTTGATTTTCAGCCTCATTCTTAAAACGAGCATAAAATAATCCAGTCCAGCAGCCCGCAGAACATAGCGTTTTTGTCACCGGCTTATCCAGTCGGGGAATTCTTTTTACGAGCAATCTATCTGCTGCTTTAGGTGATCTTCGTCCACACGTGAACTGAAGTCACCAAGACCAAAGATTCGCTCCGCACCTCACACGGACACGAGGACGCGTAGATACTCGAAAAACTTTACTTTCACACCAAAACGAATTGTTCTTGAAGGAAAATGACGATGACGACCATGTAGGAGTTATATCCTCACGTCGCGGGTCGTATTCTAGTAGGAGGGGAGGGGACCCCCCACAATAATGTTTTTGAGAGCAAAAGGCCACAAAACCCTTTCTTGTTTCCTTTTGGCGGCCATGATGAGAGATATTGTATCGCGTACCGGACAAATTAACTGAATTAGTCCTAGTATCGAATCTTGAAAAGAACAAGAATGTCCGCCTTGTACTGAGCCAATTAGCAGGCGGCCAGATATATATGTTCTTGTAGTAACCCTACTCCGAGCGCCTGTCGCAATGCTGGGTCTCTCGCGAGTGTCTGCACATGCGCAATAAGGCTGTCTGGCGTTTGCCCACTCGGCTTTTCAACTGGTCAATCAGATTCGGGGCCGCGCCAGACGTGCTCTGGCTTAAGACGCTTTGACGCATTCCCTTATACACTTGGGACGCCGCATTCCCGAAGCCGGAGGCACTTTGCTCTGGCTATCAACTCCTTTCAATCTCTTCTCCGGTTGTTCTGTACAGAATATACAATCCTCTCAACTGGCGTCCATCTTTTCTTCCCATCCGAAATCGAACCTGAAGGTCGCGGTTGCCAGGGTCTCGCTCTCGGCTTAGGATTCTGCGATATTGGTAGTGTCTAAGCAATTTGAGTGTGTACTCAGAGCACTACAATCGTCAGGACAAATCCCGTGTTGGAGGAGAAGATAGAAGGCACCAGAATGGGGAGTTTATTGTATACAGGAACCTGAGTTGTTCTCTGAGGCGACAGTGGCCGTTGGGGAAGGCGGGGCTGGTGTTGACTGCGTCCAGTCATGTCTGAGAGTTCTAGAGATAGTCGTAGCAGCCGCTTTTGTAGGTTTATGGGCAATTTGAAGTGGTGTCCAATTGGTTTGTTGCATTTTCCGAGGGCTAGTGTCCGAGCGTTTTTGGTTGCAGGGGGATGGCGAGTTTAAGTGGCGTATGGGCATCTGCGACCCTATGAGTGCATGTGCGCCCGAGGTGAAGTCGGTCGAGTGGCTGCAAGTCAGCGGGTGTGGAACCGCTCGCTGCAAAGGGGAATGATCTTGACACGATGGCGTATTGAACAAGGAGGCCAGACATGTCCACGATGTCTGCCGGCAACATTCTCGTCATCGGTCTACGGGCAATTCTACTATCTAAGTAGTATGAGCATTCCACGTAGCCAGAATAACCGATGTCATTCTGTCGGGAGGTATGGAAAGAAGGGGACGAGCCTTGCATTTGAGTATATCTATTTAATAACAATTATAGAGGAAGGCAGCCATGGGTTTTTCCGTCGACGACACGGTCTACTCGCTTCTGGAGTCCCTTCTCTTACGAGATTGTAAGCAGTGCTTCCTTCAACAAGAATGCTTGGACATCGCAGGTCCCTGCTTCGTCTACTTGGATCCAGGGTTGGACTTGTGCAAAATGTAGCCCGCCTAGAGGGTTTTTGCCAATCAATGGGATATGCTACTTAACCCTGGCACACAAACTGCTGGTCTCTATTCCGTTCCACAGATCTAACGACTTCGAAATTAAATAAATCTTCGAGCGAAACTACATTTTAAAATTGTACCAGGGGTCATCAAGCAACAACCAAACGAGTGTTTGCAGCCGTTCCTTTGAACGAAATAAATTGAACAACAAAATTTATTGGAGTGCAAAAAAACGCACTTGCAATTTGATGACTTTTAAGAAATGCAATAATAAAAATAATCAAAAGTTGCCTTCCTCAGCGATATTTTATCCCGCTTTCCATAAGTATCTCAAGGTACACCAGCAAACCGAACAAAAGTTGCGCCGAATTTGGTGGAATCTAAAACCAGGAGACTGGAGATTGTGCAGTAGAAAAATCCCAGCCCCAACAAAGTCCTTAGGCCCCTCATTCTCTGAATTCTTACTGATTCAGCGGGAAAGTAGACTTTGCCAGCTGCAGATCAGAACACTGCCACACTGGTGAGTACGAAGGCTACGACTGTAAGGACGGCCACTGCGCCACGGTGTCCAACTGCAGCCAATGTCGTGAGGAGAATGATTACGACTGGTGTGGTGGTCATGCTCTAAGCAACATAAGCAACTACATATATGCGGTTATGCACTGTCAGCCACAAAGTCTAATGCGTTTGCAGTACACTGTCCCTCTGTAACTCGCATCAATTTTATCAATGCTGATTATAATGTTGCATATCATTACGTAGCCCACAAAATCCGAAATATATAAACCCCGCCAGATTTAACTCTCCCGCACTCTCAAATTCCAGACTTCTTGCATAGTGAATTCCAGCGCCTAGGCCTGCAGTGACAAGCCTAGCATGTCCACAGATTTCCAGAGAGTTGCAACCGACATCTAAGATAACCAAGATCGACAAATCCATACTCCATTAGGCCATCCCATGAACAGCTGACAGAGTGCACTCATAAATCGAACGCAGCAGCACCCGACTCACTGGTGTATAAAAGACCCACAGACTGATGCCTCTGCAACAAAACAACAACCACAGCAGCCATGAAACTCCTCATCCTCTGCGCTCTTGTCGCTGTCGCCTCAGCCCACTACTACCCGGAGTCTCATTACGGCAGTGTTGGTCGCGGTCACTTCCACGGCCATGCCGCCGTGAAGGGCGACATCTACTTCGATGGGTGCTACGAGGAGACCTGCCACAAGGGTGACTACTTCGGCTATGGCTGCAAGGCCGGTCGCTGCGCCTACATCTGCCACCCCAAGGGCTGCTACGAATCCCATGCCTTCTCAGAGACCAGTGCTGAGAGCTGGGGTGAACAGGAGGGCTACGGCAAACGCTTTGAGGAGGGTGGTTCCAAGGGTCAGAGCCAGTACAAGGGTCACGTGCAATTCAGTGGTCGTGTAGACTTTGCGGGCTGCAGCTCGGAGCACTGCCACAGTGGTGAGTACGAGGGCTACGACTGCAAGGACGGTCACTGTGCCACGGTGTGCAAGGGCAGCGAATGCCACGAGGAGAAGGAGTACGGCGGCTATGGCTACGGCCACGGCTATGGCTATGGTTACTAGGCTCCTCCTTTTTTGTACAAGCAATAAAATCTAGTGCTTTTGCACTTTTCCGTGTTCCCTGGCCGACCGTAATGTGGTTGAACATCGTCATTATCATGTAGAATCCGATTCGCAGATTGCTTGCCCATCGTGAATTGCAGGTGTATTATGACATACACTAAAACGACATTAGAAGCACCAGAGCAGAATAGTGCTCTCGAAGGACACGCCTTAAAATGGGCATATCCTTTCTAGGTAAAGGGGGAAAAACAACAGCATAGAAATAAATATTGTGGGGAAGAGCGAAGGCATCTACTAATCGCCGAGCGAGGTACTGGGGGATGTAGTAGAAACGCAAACGTCGAACGAAATACCAAGTTTACGGTTTTTCCCCCGAATAATAGAGCATTGGTGGATAATGAGATATTTATTGGCAGAGTCGCACTCCGATACCACAAGAAACATACTTCATGGCAAATAATGTCAACGGTTTCAGGTGTTATCGTGCCTGCAGCAAAGAGCCCCGATTCCTGTAACCCGACTAGGATTAATGTGCATATCTAACCACTTCATTTATTTTGGGAGGGCCCGTTTAGTTTGTCACTTCATTGTTAAGGGATTTCCCGCGTTGAATTTTACCTAGCATACAGATTTAACCACAAGCATCGAGCTGTTTCAATAGTAACTTCTTAGTGATAAATTATTTGGCATGAGGTGGCCTTCGGTCTTCGTCTATCTCTCCGTAGTCCGCTTATTCCTAAAGGGTAGCTACACTCTTTTGTGTCATGAATAATTGGTCAAAACAGTCAGGCAAATATGGCCGACACGACTGTCCACCCGCCATTTCCAACGATGTCGGTCGTATGCCCTGTAGTATGGCGGGCTGAGGAACGGTGAGTTGTACGTGAATTAGTTTATAATAATAGTAAACGTGTGCTGCATCTACTGCACTCTACTCTCCCACTCACATAAGCCCGGTGTCGAGACAGTGTCAATAAGGTCGGAGGCGGGAACGGAAGCAGGTGAGTGGTGCGGCGCGAGCCCGCGCCTAGGCGCACCACCACGCCCCTGCAATGTATGGCATTCGTTATGGGTGCACAGCCCAATAACGCGTGCGTGATCCTGATCTGGTCAGCATGCAGACGTCAGTGTGGCAGGCTCAAATCCGACTGTCAATCGTTAGGAGCAGACACTGACAAAAGCGAGTGACAAACAAAGCGGGCAACGCGGACTACCCCGTAAATAACGGCGAAGTTCTGCGCGCTTGCTGTCTTCGGCAACGGACAGATCTAACTGCCCGAATTGCCAGGCAGTGAAGAAGCACATTCCAGTGATCAATCCACTGAGTTCAATGGGGAACTCTTCGTGTATAACCTTCACGATACCTGCTCACCTATTAATATTTTCTTTCTGATGCACTATTAACTCTTTCTTTAAGTGCCGTGAACTTTGGCTCTACTGTGCTGTAAGCCGCAATTTTATCTTTACCGGAACAGGCAATGTTCAAAACCAACATCTGGCCCATAAGATGCTAAAAATAAAGCTCTGGACGGCAAACTATAAGTCGAACATAAGAATTTTTTGAAGGACCCTGGGTATACTTGCGCTATGCGTGTCTAGGATGTGATAAAGTATCTTGTGCGTATTCTAATGGTCTTTGACTGTAATAAAACTTTCCTCGTACGCAACCGGAAATATCAGCGACCTTGACATTAACCAAACCCATATGCAACGTAAAATGGCAACTTAAAGCTGCAAAACACGGATACGAGAAAATGACTAGGGACAAACTTGAATAAGGGATCTATAAGCATCTCTTTATAATTACTCCACCAAAACCTGCCATTCAGTCCTCGTAATCTTACCCCGTGTTAGCGATTCGTTCGTTCTTGAGATTTGCGCCAAGTCACTTAAGAGCGCTGGTCTTCCAGAGCGGAGCAGCTTTCAACAGACATGGATCCTACGCTGTTTTTGGGGAAACCAAATAAACATCCGCAGATCGTAAATCGTCGCAAATTCGTTTGTGATCAATTACTCAGCTGTCAGTTTCAGCTCCGAATACTCACGACTTATCTGGCATCTTCAACAGTAGGATTGTCACCACAGAGGCGATAGCAACGCTCGCCTACTGTGAATCCGGAATTTAAAAGTATTAAAATTACTGAAACACATTGTAAGGATGAAAATTTGAATTCTTCAGATGAGCCCGAATAAGGGCCACAAGGACGCTACAACAGACCCATATTGTTAACAAATTCCGACATGTCTAACAGAAGCCATAAGACTGGACCTTAATATTATTAAAAACTTGATGAAACAGAGGCCGGCCTCGGCCTCTTCGTTGTCCGATGTTATTCATGGGTTGTGTTCTCGTTAATCGCCCGTTTCTAGTCTAATCCCGAAGGCTTATTTCTACCCTAGCTTTCGCCTCTGCCACAAGCAACTAGTAGTTACATCAAGTGATGTGCCGAGCTTCCAAGTAATTTAGACATTGACTTCCTACTTAGTTTATGTTGACTATAACAGTATTCGAAGTTATTTACATTGACTTTATCAGCTGGCAGGAATATTTTTGTTGCATAAATCAAGTTAATTTGGGTTGTCTGTATGTCTAAAGCCGCTAACTGCATTCAGATATCTGTGCTGAAGCCATAAACAAGGCTTATTTTGTGGCAACGTTAGCTTGCCTGAATGCCGTTGGTCAGCAATGGTCGTAAGTTTTGACGACAGACCTCCCAGAAATTATGCAGCTATTATCAGGGAAACTGCTTGAATATGATCGCATGTCAAATTCCATGTGAACAAACGGTTTCTAATAAGACCACCTATGGAGTACTTCCGTTTAAGGACGATCATTTATGCGTATCGAGTTACTTTAGTGACTGACGCCCCAAAGTCCTAGATATCTACTTTTGGGCCTATCACTCAGCAGTCTATTTCCAAGAATGTTATTGTCCAATGTACTCGTAAATTATGTCCTCCCAAGACTATTTAAATTAGTGCATCTTGACATTGAGTCTGTTGAAAAGTGAAGATTCGGCGATCAAGTCTGCCTGCAAGTTGCCGAGCGTAAATTTTCTCCGACAATGAATAGCATGTCTTGAAGAAAGTGACACGATCGCTGGAACAAGAGTTTATTTTGGCCGACTTTTCGGACTGGCACTCGAATTCATCGTCTGAGACTGCATCAGATAAAGGTAGTATTTGCACAAGTGTTGCGGTCGCTATCCCACTGCATACATACATATCACAATTGGAGAGGCAAAGGAGACAAAGCATGCAGAATGTACTGACGTCATAACTTTTGAGACCTCTCATTCAGCTGCACACGGTCATTGCATGGGGAGGCAAGGAGGGGGAAAGAGAAGTCATCCAATTATGAGAGTTAGGATTACGGTGAGAACTTGTCCGGTGTGATTTAGAGTGCAACGCGCGGGCAGCATTCAGTCATGCCGGAGAGGGGTAGGGGCGAAATGAGAGGGCGCACATGGGAACAGGGTTTTTTCCATAATCGATACTCACCATGGTAGTGCCAGGTTTATCACGTGGTCTAACTGCTTACAGAGTTCTGGTTTCCTCCTCCGTATTGCAGCGGCCTCTGCAAAGCGCAAGAGACGCCCGGTCGTCACCCGAAATAGGACCTTGAATGCAACCATTGGGTCCACCGAGTGGCCCGTGTTCACTAGGTGTTTTGTGATTGAGCTCCTTGATACCTTTTTTTCAGCCACTTCGGCATGTGTTCAGCTGACTGAGCTGTCAACTGCCTTTGCGTGCGACCGATGTACTTGCATCCGCAACTACATGTAAACTCATAAATACAGTTTGATGTGGCGTGCATAGGCAAATTGTCTTTAGCTGGTCTAACTGGAATGGTCGTCAGTAAATTCTGCATGCTTTGTCGCCTTTGCCTTATGCTAATTTATTCCGGGAAAACATTGCTTAAATCCACAATAGGTAAATCCTGCATTCAGTCAGTCAGTATCAGTCAGTATATTTGGAGTAAACGACAGAAGCCATGAAAACTCCATTTAGAGGGTACAGGTATAAAGTAAAATAGTTAAACTGCAAAACTTTTGCTTGCAGTTTTAGTAGGGAGAATTCATAAATCGAATAATGTAACATAACGGTGAAAGGGGTATTATATTCGCAAAAGAATTGCGAAAAACTTTGATCACCGCATTCGGACTGTGAAAATTTCAATATGGGCTAAGTTTGACGCACAAAATAGGATCTATTGAAATCTAGTTAGTAGTATATTTATAGTCATTTCAATAATCCGTTAGATCAGGCTTCGGCAGTTTGGGTTGCCTTTCAGAAGGTGAGTATCCAGTTGTCTCTTGAACACGTTCACGGTAGGGGAATTAACAACAAACTCCGGCAAAGAGTTCCATTGGCGAATGACCCTCTGTGAGAAAAAGGAGGAACGTTGATTTGTGTGGCACAGTTCCTTTTTAAGCTGGTAATCATGTCGTCTGAGATTGGACTTGGGTGCCATTTCAAAAAACGTTTCCCAGTCGACATCCAGATTAAGTCCTTTTATCAACTGGAACGTTGCTATGAGGTCACCTCTGTCCTGCCTGTAGTGGAGGGGATAGAGGTTCAAGGCCGTCAGGCGCTGCTCGTACGTGAAGTTTTTGAGGCCATGAACAGCCTTTGTAGCACGCCGTTGTACACCTTCAAGGATAGCTATATCCTTCCGAAGCCACGGCCGCCAAGCCTGTACCGCATATTCCAGGTGCGGCCGCACAAATGTCCCGTATACTTTGCCAAAGACATCTTTATTCAAGTGAATAAACGTTCTGCCGATGGTTCTAATTAATACTACAACTACCCGATTCTTTCCAGACGAGTTGTTAATTCCTGCGATTTCATCACTGATCAGAAGAAGAAGCGATTGCTGGAACAATGGCTTTATTCGCCATTGCTTCAGCGATCGCTGGATGATGATGATGGTGGTGGTGATGATGATGATGATGATGATGGTGGTGGTGGTGGTGGTGGTGGTGGTGGTGGTGGTGGTGATGATGATGATGATGATGATGATGATGATGATGATGATGATGATGATGATGATGATGATGATGATGATGATGATGATGATGATGATGATGATGATGATGATGATGATGATGATGATGATGACTCGGTCGAGGGTAATCAAACAATTGTCGAATCAAGCGGAACCATCTGCCATGAATGCGGAAGTCACCAACCGTAGCAACCGTATCATCCACCTACCGCAGCGGTTGTGCAAACAGTGCCTTTATTTGATTCTGTCTCTGGTGATGAGTCTGACTGTGAATTCAAGGCGTCGGACGAACAAAAATTTCCTTCCAGTGACCGCATTTCTTTCTTCCTTGCTTCTTCTTCTTGTCTATTTCTCGGTGGAAATTAATTTAGGAGCAAAACATTTTACACTTAAGAGTGAACAGCCACCGACTGAGTTCTTCACGAACGTTTTTAGGCGAACTGGCTAATTTTCAGTTACTGGAGATGAAAATATAATCTCGGCCCAGATTGCATCCCACATCTCTTACCTTCATTTACGCTGCCCTTTTACCTGTAGATGTTTCATTAGCCCCCGCTAATGAAGTGCCGACTTGTGGGCTACTGGCTGCAGTCTGTGGCTGGACATTAGTCATCTTAAGTGCTCCCAAAACGAACCACGCGGCAAATGTGCTGAACCAACACGAGAGCCACATCGGATTCTAGCAAGCGTTATCGGGAATGCGCACTATAAAAAATGCGAACGTTCGGAGTGCGGTGGTAGGTCCAGTTCCCCGCCCACATTAGGATCCCTATCGTTCGCCATTGTTTGTTGATTGAAATCCCGGCCAAGTTTTTGCTGTGGAGCAGGGGTGTGGTGGTACGCCTGAGCCTATAAGTCTCAAATAGACTGATCTACTCTAAGTTGGCAATTAATTTCTGAGGAAATTAAAAGGGCACGATCTCATAACTGGGACATCTATCACAAGAAACAAACAGGGAGCGCTGGGGGACCTAGTGATGAGCCGAACCCCTCGCAAATGTGTCTAGTCGCGACAGAATATCGGCGAAACAGGCGCATGGGCTTTTAGCTAGTACCTGGGCTGTCAGGTACGGCATATCCTGTTACTTATGTATATACTACTGACTGCCTGTTAACAGTTTATGAGTATTACGCGGTTAAAGCGTGTGCTCACCTGACCCAGTGAATTTCGTCGCGCCAGACGCATCGACGGTGATACAACACTGGCGACCTGCGTGAACGGCATCGTGGAGCCAACTACTGTGACTGGATTTGATTGGGAATACTGCTCTTTTGCTGTTATCTTTGATGCTGAACTTTTGTACAAACTCGTGGGCACTAACAAATAAGCTCCTCGTTACAGTGATCGCTCATCCTTCTTAATCTTATTTGGATCCTACCTCAATAGAGCTCGAAAGTTTTGTGCGCTTAAAAATAGGCCTAATTAAGTTTCATTAAGGTGGCTTTTCTCCCGCATACACGCATACGAAGATGACTGGAATCATTCTGGATAAAATGGTGTTAGCCCTGTAAAATAAGATCAAGGACACAGGATACCTCTACTTCCAGAACATAAGCAGTATATCGACTTCGAGATACCCTGAGACGAGAAATTAAGAGAAGTGTGGTTAGATGAAGCAAATTCTTGGACGACTCCGCTCAAAATCCGCATTGTTTGAAAGCTGTCAGTTGCTACGTGCAGGAAAAGTGAAACAGATTACCACTACCCATCAAAACATGGCTTCAGAATCTATTCTAACCAGGTTGAACTACGAGACTGGCCTTATAAGTGACCCCGTATGCGAAGAGTCGAGAATTCGATACTACGACGCATTATAAGAGACTAATGAATTTGTAAAGCGGTTTGCCTTCATTTCATAATGAGGACCATTAACGTAGGTAGGACTTTACTAACACAACGGGAGTTCATGGCGATTTTAAATGGGTCCAAACTGCCGTTCATTCCATATCTGAACGTCTCTCAACTTGCTCTCCCACGGATGTAACTGATCAATTTATTTCGAAATGGCCCGGAATTAAGATTAATACTCTGCTTTTATAAATCGTAGTAAGTTTTCGTCCTATATAAGTCTCATATTATAAGAAGATTTCAACCTCACATCAGGAAATGGAAGGCAACTGAAAATGTAGGCATGCAAGTCGAACGCAATGATGTCAAACTGTCGCCTAAACCTACGCACTCCTGACTATCTACCTTAGATATGGATTTTACCTGTGTTTGTACTTGCCTTGACAACCGCGATTCAACCAAAATAATGATTAGTTGGAGAAATATGCATCGAGAGAGTGCAACATTTGTGATATGACACCTGACAGTCGTAAAATAAGCAAGCGTGATGTTTACGTTGGACAACAAATGCTGAGGCGAGAAGTGAACCAGAACAGCAAAAGGTCGAACTATGACTAACTTCTGGGGACCCCTTTTGCTATTGGACTCTCAATAGTTCTAGTGCAGACTGTATTACTTTCAGTTCGTTAGAAATATTTCGGTTAGTTGAGACAGGGCAGGGTTTGGTAAGCTTACTTTCTGCCTGGTTAGTACAAACATATAGCGAGCTTGGAGAAGAATGCAAAAGTTATCAAGTGTGACTACGGATTAGTTGGGTCTGGACAGAGCAGAAAGTGGCCACGGTGACGGAGATTCCGGAAATTTCGGATAACGTTGAACGGGTAAATGGGAGCACTTATCCTGTACAAAGGTGAGCGTAGAACTGTAAAATTAGCAAATCTGGGCAAGGTTTACTACATAGTCGGGACAAAATTCTTTGCCGACGCAAACGAAAATGCGGGTTCTAGCAAGTAGTTGAGAGGGGGTTGATGCGATCGCTGGAACAAGAGTTTTATTCGTCTGACGTGTCAGATTCACGCTCTAACCCATAATCAGAGACAGTATCAGACACGGGTTGAAGCATTTATGGGATGCCGTCGTAATGCTGCGGCATACCAATGACAGCAAACGGCTTCCCCTTCATCAAAGATGGTTGCCCTCTGGTGTGCTAATGACTTGATGTCGACATGCAAGTCTTCAGTTGCCGAAATTTAATCATCCATGCTGGATGTTGGCACGATGCTGGCTCAGAGACCCGGCCCACCGGCCTGCGCACTCCCCGCATGGCTAATTACTTTGGCTAAATTAAATCCCAACACCGAATATGGGTTTGGGAGGTCATGGCGATTGTTCATAAACCGGGGTCCGTGAGCCATGACTCAAGCAACTCGCGTCTCACGCCGCCATCACCTCTCGCCAGGGCAAGAAACATCCGGGACTGTTTAACGGAGCTGATGCAGTTGCGGGCAGAGCAACTACGTCGGTCAAGCTGGAAGACTGCTCTGGAGGCGAATCGCCAAACACGTAGCAGCAGCGCTGAGAAAGGACTTCAACTCTCAAGTCGCGGCCCATCCGGTGAGACCCAGCCGCACATTCAATTTCGACGAGGTCAACGTCCTCACTATAGGTGATAATCGTGTGAGTTGCGATTTGCTTGAGTCATGGTTCTCGGGACTTCAGCCTATTAACAAGTGTAATGACCAAACTACCAAATATTCGGCGGTGAGACGCAGTTTTAACAAAGTAATTAGCCGCTCGAGGAGCGCGCAAGTTTTAAGACCAGTATTTTACTTCATCACTCTCACTCGCAGCTGTCTCTGATAATGGGTTTGACCATGAATCCGAAACGTCAGGCGAATAAAGTTCTTGTTTCAGCGATCGCATCTACTTCCTCTCAGCATAATTCTTTCGCGTTCACATGGCCAGGTCGCATGATTAACATGTAGTTTACGCCGCTCCTAGGATATGTCACTATAGTCACTTTCTGTACTTTTGGGCAATCTGTAAAACTGCCTGAAATGTCCTAGTGACATTCGCAAAGTTCCTTATATCTGCCACTCGGGCGAGGATCAGGCCGTTGATGGTCTTCGTTGTACATTTTCCCAAATCCCCGATAGATTTTTAGATTCCCTTGAAGAAGCGCTAACCGATATAATGATTGTGGCTTGCTCCAAAAGATTAAGCGTAGAAGTACTCATTGATATGGTCTGAGTTGACAGTTTCTCTACTCACGGCAACAGAACGAGAGAGAGAGAGAGCCAAAAATTACGGATATTGCAGCAGAAAAAACAGTTTATTTGATAGACTGCCTTTCCAAAACGGCATACGCAGCAATCTAGTGTGAAGACTTCTGTAACAAGCATTTTTCACTAGCCTTCTCGGTCAACCACCATCTAGAAAGGAGAGACAAGGAAAAGCTAGCATTAGGACTGAGTGGTCGTGTTTCTGTTCCTTCCCACGTTCTTCTGAAGTAAACGACGCAGTCTGAACGAGTCACTCTTCTCCAGGGTGGGTAGGATAACCTCAGCCAGCGCGGGTAGGGAAAGGTGAAACAGACAGCTTTGTGATACTGAAATTCGGACATGGTGTCTTTCAGTCTCAGTTCAGTTTTCTCTATGCAATTTTCTGCCTCAAGAAAAACCTCCAACTTAGTGCTCTCCCTCACGACATGGCTGGTGCTTCAACGGTACAGCCAGGGATTGGGTTTACTGCCAAAGTGTTTGGGCCGCCTGTTTCTGTTCAGTCAATTTCTTTCTTCACGTATTTACTCTCCCACATATTCCGCCCTGCAGCAAAATCGACAAACCCAGTCTGCATTTTCCATTTCCCAGAACAAGCCCTTCTGTGCCATTTTTGGTTGAACATTAGGTGTGGTTTAGCCAGACTAGCACCATGTGTGCGCGAGGTATTTTGTGTGTCTGCCAAGTTTTCCCGACATTTCCCGGTAATGGCAAAGACAACGTTACCCTCTTCTTTTTCCGATACTTCGTTAAGGCTGTCCTACTGCCGTATTCTTTCTGTATCTACGGCTACCCATAGAATGCTACGATCATTTAAACTGAAAATGGTTGTGTGAACTATGTCCTACCTTAATTGCTAAGCATCGATTGGTCTTATCGTTTCCGGCCGCTGCTATTTTATATATTTGGCGGGATCTCTGTGATGTTCTACAAGTAACGTCATCGCCCTACAGTCAAATACATTTTAGTGAGCAATGCCAGATACCCGCGCTCGTAGCCAGCTTATAGGCCGTACAAAATAACTAAGGCTGTCAGGTGCACCACGTCTTCACAGAAACCGCACCGTTTGTCTAGCTGGGTTTCCCGGAGCTTTGCCAGAGGATGTTGAGCATGCCAGAGAC